CTTCCGGTATTTTGAAGACATATCTGGTTACTCAGGGGTGAGGTGTTCCTTTCCGTCTGTCGCTCTAACGCTCATATTCAGAGCTAAATCCACTGCTGTGAACACTACTACCTGGTGTAATGGCCCGTCTGACCTACAGGTGTTCATCTGCGGACCTTCTCCTCACTGGATGATGGTGACCTCCCGTGGAGCGATGAGGCTTCACCCCATGACCATCGATGGCCCCATTGAATCCTTCTCCCCCTTTCACAACATCAACTGTCCCAAAGGATTCCTCTATTTTAACAAGCAGGTATGGACCAGGATGAGTCTGCTTTATCTGGTTGGCTTATAACTGGTATTTTTGCTTTTTCTTGTCAGCAAAGGTGTCATAGCCTAATTAAAGATTTTCATTTGTATTTAATAGTTTCAAAATATTAATAAGATGTGTAAATATATATTATCTTTATTATATTGAAATATTAAGTAAAAAGAGCTCCTGTATCGGAATCGGATCGGAATTGAAAAAATGTGGATCGGCCGATCCCTACTAACATACTTAGCTTTATGACAAGGAATGAACTAATTTGGACTCAAACATGGAGTTAAAAATCACGTATGTGTGTGTGTTAGTAGTGTGAAACTAGTGTCTGGTTTCCCTTGCACAGGGTGAGCTCAGGATCAGCGTGTTGCCGACTTACCTATCATACGACGCCCCGTGGCCCGTCAGGAAAATCCCCCTCAGGTGCACCGCCCACTATGTCACGTACCACGTGGAGTCCAAGGTGAGAGGCTCATTTCATTACACGCTCAGAAGCTTCTGTCCATCCGTGATGGATTTCTAAAAGCGCTCCGATAAGCGTTTCTAAAGACAGCTCGATGCTTTTTCCTTCCGTCAGGTGTATGCAGTATGTCTGAGCGTGAAAGAGCCCTGCACACGTATTCCCAGAATGACCGGGGAGGAGAAAGAGTACGAGTCCATAGAGAGAGGTGAGATCCTCGCTGGCCATCTGCAGCCTTATGTTTGCCGTGTGTCTTGCAGGTAGCAGTGATAGGGGGCAGTGGGAGTTGTCTGTCATGCATTTTGGGTTGTCCATATCACTGCGCCCCAGGTAGTCTCCTCATTAATGGGGCCGCCTGTCCTTGTTTATGCCCTCAGACGAGCGGTACATCAACCCTCAGCAGGAGAAGTTCTCGATCCAGCTTATTTCTCCTGTCAGCTGGGAGGCGATCCCCAATACAAGGTAGGCGTGGAGCAGTGCATCTGCAGGCCCCATCTGTGCTGTTTATCAAGGTGCCAAAGCTGTTCTGCAGTCTAATGATCATATGAACCATGTGGTACTGGAATATTTACAATAGTCATATTCCGGATGTGTAAGACACCCCAAAAGGAGTAATGCAGATAAACAGATAGGATCGGACAGTTTAAATAGCTTCTGCACACGGAAGCATTGAAATGGAAGTGTGCATGCATGGTGTCCTTGGCAGAATCGATCTGGAGGAGTGGGAGCACGTGACCTGCATGAAGACGGTGGCACTGAAGAGCCAGGAGACCGTGTCAGGCCTCAAGGGATACATAGCTGCCGGGACCTGTCTGATGCAGGGAGAGGAGGTCACATGTCGAGGCAGGGTGAGCGGCCCCCACACCGTGCGGGAGCCACGGCGGCCAGGACCTGTCCTATAATATGGATTCTGGCTTTAACTTGTATTATCTCCCTTTTGCTTCTAGATCCTGATCTTGGATGTAATTGAAGTGGTACCTGAGCCAGGGCAGCCACTCACCAAGAACAAATTCAAGATCCTCTACGAGAAGGAGCAGAAGGGCCCTGTCACTGCCTTGTGTCACTGCAGTGGCTACCTCGTCTCAGCTATTGGCCAGAAGGTGGGGACATTTTTTTTCATTAAACATACGACTCCAAGACACAGAGGAAAACCATACAGATTCACCGTAACCCTGCCTCCATTAATTTGTAATGTTCATTTCATATTAAATATACATCAGTTCTTAGCAGAGGGAAAACATCCCTGGACTGCAAACCTCTCGAAGTTCTCCAAAATGATATGTTTCCTGAAATGTGAGCTCCACTCTTCATAATGCCATAGATATTCCTGTGGAGCCTGAAGGACAATGACCTGACCGGCATGGCCTTCATCGACACCCAGCTCTACATCCACCAGATGTACAGCATCAAGAACTTTATCCTGGCGGCTGATGTCATGAAGAGCATCTCGTTGCTCCGCTACCAGGAGGAGAGCAAGACGCTGTCGCTCGTCAGCAGGGTACCTCAAAGCTCTCTCACGCTCTCCCTCTCCCTCTCTCTCTCTCTCCCTCCCTAGAATGGACCCAGACCCAGAAAATAAGTCCTTGATCTACAGATTAGCTGTTGTCCACATAATTGCTTCTGTGAAGAACCTGGTCAGAATTGAGTTAAAATGGTCAAGTTCTGTGACTCTCGAGAACGGGGTTTGGGTCGTACTAGGCCTTACCATGCCATCATGTTGGTTGCCCATTGACGACTTTTGCCGACTTTTGGCTGTGTGATTCTAGGACGCCAAACCGCTGGAGGTGTACAGCACCGAATTCATGGTGGACAACAACCAACTTGGATTTTTGGGTACGTTTTTGGGCAGATCTGCTGTGACACTGGGACACGAGTGCGGCGTGTTCGGTTCTTTAATGGCAGCTTGTTTTTCTGTACATTCCAGTGTCAGACCGAGATAAGAATTTGCTGGTCTACATGTATCTACCAGAAGGTATGTGGCTCTTAAATCATCGTGTGGACAGCAGTAGCCAAAAAACGAGCACATGTCCGAATGGATTCGCGTTTGTTTCGTGCAGCCAAGGAGAGCTTTGGGGGGATGCGGCTGCTGCGTCGTGCCGACTTCAACGTAGGCGCCCACGTCAACACCTTCTGGAGGATGCCGTGTCGGGGGGCCATGGAGGCCGGCAGCAAGAAGACCCTCACCTGGGACAACAAGCACATCACCTGGTTTGGTACGCCGTGAACTCCCAGCCGTCTCTCTCTCACAAGGAACAGGGAATTGAGTGTCCTGGGCCTGAGGACAGGATCGCTGGTGAAAATCCACTGGGAATTTGAAAATTCCTACCAATGCATCAGCCCAGGGCAGATCGGCTACATGTATTCCACTGATAGATGGCAATTAACATGGTTGGTGTCCTAGGTGGCATCATTGCACGTGTCCAAGTACTTTTAGGGGCACGACAAGCTACTTTTACGGATGTATGTGTCACGGGCAATTTGGCATCCCTGGCATCCACCAATGGGACTAACTGACCCTGGTAATTAACCAATCTTGTGATGGGTTAATTTGGGGAAGCATACATTTAATTTTATGCACCATTTTATGCAAATCCATTAACTAGGGTGACCATAAGTCCATTTTTTTCCTTCTCTTTTTTGTGACCTAAAATGCCTGAAACCTCCAGGATTTCACTTTTCATGTTGAGATATGCTTTATAGTCAGAATATTTTCTATGTGCTTATTTGCATTGTGTTGACACCTCTTTGCGACCTATCCACGGCGTCCTCTTTTTTTGCAAAGTGAAATGGTCACCCTAACATTACGTTCTCTGTAGAGGGTAGGTCATTGCTCAGTGAGGGCTGGTTCAAACGCTCAGTCCGTGGCACTGAGTGTAGAGTAGGCCAAACGTGACTGGGCATGTGCCAGGATGCCCCACCACATAAGGGCTGTAATGTGGCCAGAACTACAGGTTTCCTTTTACTCTGCACAGCAACGCTGGATGGAGGCATTGGGCTCCTTTTGCCCATGCAGGAGAAGACATACCGTCGACTGCTCATGCTCCAGAACGCACTAACCACCATGCTGCCCCACCACGCGGGACTCAACCCCAAAGCATTCAGGTGTGTGTACTGAGTGAGCCCCGTTCACTCAGAGCCATGAGGAGTTTTATTAAGTCATGCAGGCTGATTTAATAACCTCTGCGTTTTGCAGGATGCTTCACACCGACCGGCGCACGTTGCAGAACCCAGTGCGTAACATCTTGGACGGGGAGCTCCTCACCAAGTACCTGTACCTCAGCACCATGGAGCGCAGTGAGCTGGCCAAGAAGATCGGGACCACCTCAGATATTGTGAGTAGAGCTCTGATCATGCCTAGAAAAGATGAGGGTTAGGTAGCTGGTTTTGTGTGCGTTTCAGTGGACTGTTAATGCATGAGAGCTTACAAATCACCCCACAGAAGATGGTTGTGGGACTTTCACTTACATAAAAATGTTCTGAAGGCAGAATGAGAAATTGATTGTTTCCGAGAGATAAGCAATCAGATTGTAGAGGAGGTGGATTTAAGCAACTAGAGGACGCAGGATCAACGAATCATATCTGAATCCACCTCAACACTGATTGGTTATCTCTCTGAACCAATCATTTTTTGTTCTGCCCATGGAACATCTTAAGTAAAACTTCCATGAGCCCAGATGACTTTAAGGCCAAACTGAAGGAAGATGTCCAGTTTAAGTAAATCTCTGCTAGTGTACATGTTTTTTCCAAATGGCATGTAGAGACTAGCAATTGCACTGTTGTGCCAGGAAAACAACTGAAATTTGGAATCACATTTTTTTTTCTCCTCGTTATTTCAGATTTTGGATGATCTTCTGGAAATTGACAGAGTGACAGCTCACTTTTAAAATTATTTTCTCATCAAAATGATCCTGTATGGTTTACTGGTTTTGATTGTTTTACAAGGGGTAAAAAGTTTTCTTAGACTGATGTTCTTGTTTTCAGTGTTTTTTGTAGTATGTGTTTGAGGAATACAGATGTATCATTTTTCATAAAGAACCATATTTTGTAAGCAAAAGAAGAAAAAAAATAAAAAAACAAACCAGAGTTGTCTAGAAGCAATTCCTGCACTTTGACCCCGGCATCAGTGGGGTGACAGATAAGCAGTCAGCACTCCTCTCCCTGTCATGGTTCACTTACCTATGTATTACGATACCAGGGTAAAGGTCACGAATTATTTATATAAAGCTGAACCAAAAGACCTATTAGTAAAAATCACCAAGTTTATTGCAGCTGCACATCATATCACATTTGTATACACAATGTACAGTGTACTGAGAAAGTGTCACTGTAATGCACAAATCTGGGTGTCTGTAAATTCACAGAAAAATCAGGTGTGAGGTGTGGAAAAGAGGGGTCAGAGGGGTCATGGGGAAAATTAACCCTTTTCTTGCATATTCAGTTGTCTATTTGTGTGGTTTCTGTGCATTACCTACCTAAATGTTGGCTCATTGCCACATTCACATTAACAGAAATGATATACGTTTAATACTGGTGTAATATAACTTAAGACAGCTTGTTTCAGGAATAGTAAAACTGCATTAATCTATGATTCTGAGACTGATTTATTCAGTTAAGATAAACAATAAAAGCCATAAAAATGCTGAAGGACAAAGTAAAAAGTCTGATTTGGCTGGGATACATAATTCAGTTCTTAGATATGGACATTTTCATGATTTCTGTTTTAGTCCAGCAAGCTGTGTTGCACCGTCAGGTTTTTTTTTTTTTTTATAAAAAAGTTTGGCTTTGAATATTTTAAGTAATCAGTCTTTTAAAGTTTCCTGAAACCATCTGTGCTCTATACAGAAGGTCCTATGTCCTAAGGTCTGTGATTTGTCATGCCCAGTTCCGTCCAGCTGTTCGATCGGGGGCAGGGGGCACCCCACACATAACCCTTACATTACCTATCTCCTACTTTATCTATAACCTATGTTGATCAGAGTATCCCACCTGAAAGGGCATCACCCAACAGAGCCACCGTACTTTGAACAATTTAACTTTGTTTCTTCAAAACTGTACTTCATTGGTCCATAAAGACAGCCATCCAATCAGCTCTAAGCTTCAGTTCAGTGGGTACATACACTGTGTTGTGTGTCAAGGTAAAAAAAAAAAAACTAATTACTGGAGGTACTGATGGATTTTGTCATCCAGCGTCACCAGGCCGAAGTAGGAGAGAAGTCGCAGTAATGAGCGGGTCAGACTCATCTTTGCCATCTCTGACCTGCAGATAGAAGTGTTATTTTAAAGTCTATGTAAGTAAGGTAACAGGACGTTACATGTCAAACGGAGGCAGAGGGAGGTGTCTGGTACCTGAGAGCGCACTCAAACTTGAGGCCCTCCCAGGCCGCCCACAGCCAGTGAAGCACCCTGATCCTGGGTAGTCGCCCGGCCTCCTCTGCCTGGATGCGGCCCCAGCCTCTCACAGCACTAGGACCAGGTAGCGGAAAAGAGCAGGCAAATTAGACAGGGTCCAGACACCCTGAGGCATGGGGCTGCTCATGCCGCTGAACAGTCAAACAGCCTCATGTCAGAACATGTTTTATTACTGGGTGGTCACAGACTGCCAGACATATAATGTTAAATGGCCGTTTGAACCCTCACACTAATGGCTGAGTGTGACATAACCATGTAGGGTCACCCATGCATGGCTGGGAAATAATGTAAGTCTGGAGTTTTTCTAAGATTAGGAGGAGGAGCCAAACCGCAAAAGACCCACAGCTACCCAGAGCCTCCAGACTAGTAGGGGGGCGAAACAACAGATGCTGACCTCTTGGCCATGACAGAGTAGCGATCGACGGGCGCCCCCAGCGTGATGTTAATGCTGCGCACGGTGTTGACGTTGCGGAACACCAGGAGCATGGGCCGCGGCAGCGACTTCAGCACCCTCATGATGTTCTCGAAGTGGTGCGTGGCCATGTCTCGCATGTAGGACGTCTCCTCGCGGGTCAGGATGTTGCCCAAACCCAGCTCACGCATGTTGATGGGCCGCTGCAGCAGCATCTCGGAGAACAGGAGGTAGTCTGGCCGACAAGCAGGTACGTATGGAATTAGGTTTACGCTTTTACCATGTTTAATGTTTAGAAAAAGACGAATTAATCCTTGTGTATGACGTGTAAACCTTTAATTACTGCCCACCTTGTATCAGATAGAGCAAAAACATGGACTGCCTGCTGGTCCCCAAGGACACCGAGATAGAGGTACATTTATGTGCTCACCTTTGACCCCAAGGTCATTGGAGTGTTTCCTCATGGCATCCTCGTCCCGCAGGATGATGGCACGCCACAGCTTACACAAGGCCACTCTGTCGCTGTTGGGGCCGTAGTAGACACACAAATGGCATCCGTTCAGTAATGCATTGTTTCCACACCTCGTGGAAGATCCCATGTGCATGCGATAGTACTCACTGAGGGGTCATGCTCTTAGTGTGCAGGCTCCATTAGTCTCTTACCTTTTGCTGAGTAGCTGATAAAGCCCATGATCCAAAAGAACCAGATCTGCTTTATTATCTGGTCCTTTTCTCACCAGCACTGGAAATGTGGGAAATAGCTATTTTTTAACTTCTAGTGAAAACAACCTCCATCCATTTTCTATACCCGCTTTCTCCTATGCAGGGGGGCACAGGGGTCTGGACCCTATTCCAGAAGCTATGGGCACAAGGAAGGCAATAACCCAGGACAGGTCGCTGACCCATCATATGGGCACACACACATTCACACCTATGGAGGATTTGGCAACTCCACTTCACCTTAGCAGGTTTTTAGATTGTGGGGGGAAACTGGAGAACCTGAAGGAACCCTCACAACGATAACGCTTATTATTGAGCAATATCTGTAATAACTCTTTCCCAACACAGGTTCTAACTAAGCTTCTACCTACCTAGACCAGTAAAATAAACGTACATGAATATGGTCCTTAAACCAAATCTAGTTTATCAAATTAGTATACTACTCAGTATACTAATAGTATATATTATCGCGAAGTATACTTCCTCGCTTAACGACTGACCTGTTTAATGACCACCCAGACAGTGTTGTACGCTGTACGAGAACTTTAGCTGTGGAAACTTCAGCGCAGCATCTCAGCGTCAAGCATCTCAGCGTCAAGCATCTCATCGCGCATTACCCTTTCTGTCTCGTTCTTGCAGTCGGTCAGTATAGAAGGCGATTCTCTCTCCACTTGTGTTTTATGTAACTAAATGGATCAGAACCTGTTAGGGACAGGCATGAGACTGCTGATTGCAGCAGGGTTGGGGCCATTCCGGAATGCATTGATCAATTCCAGTCCAAATCAGGAAATGGAACTGGAGCTGGGATTGGGAAAAAAACTACAGGGAACAGAATTGGAGTTGAATTTGAATTTCAGGGAGATTTAAGTTCCAACTTTCCTGATTTGGACTGGAATTGATCAATGCATCCCGGAATGGCCCCAACCCTGGTTTGCAGGCTCTGACCCAAAAGGCTCCCCCGTCAACACCAATCCTAACCTTCGAATAAATTGCTGCATTTTAAAACCTCGCCTCCCATTCTGTGATGAGGCAGCCCCACCAACAGCATAACCAATCAGGGGCGTGGTTTGGGCATGGCCAGCCTGTAAAGGTAGACAGTGAGCGTCACACATTTACCGTTGCCAGGATGAGGGTCGGCGTGGATGAACCCAGTGTAAAAGATCTGCTCTGCGAACGTCCGGATCAGCTTGTCGGCAACCTGAGTAGCAAGCAGAAAGAATCAAGGGCCGCCCCCACTTTCACGTTCAGTCATCTGCTCCGAATCATCAATATCTTGGAACCTCCAATTAGAGAAGCAATATAAACTCAATGTCTGTACTTACATCTCGTAAGTCAAGCCCTTGCTGTCGGATTCCTTCTATGTTGTTTATCTTGCAGCCCTCACAATATTCTGCTGTGAGCACCCTCTGTAAGGCCAAGTAAACTGGTTTGATTAGTCTGTCCCTCACTAAGGAGCTGCTGGAACCAATTGTAGTGATATAGTGAGTCGTTTCCATTTAAAATGGCCCTCATATCACTGTGCTGTTTGGATTATGTTTGCACACCTTGCTGGACTGATTCCAGAAAACCTTGGGAACTACGACAAATCTGAATTGCTTGAGATCTTCTGCACAGCGTTCAGAGTTCCGAGCCTCATTCTCAAAGTCCAGCTCCTGCGCCAGTGTCCCCTTCAGGTCCTGAAACACAAGCACACTGAGGTCTAAGTGGCATCTCTGTCACCGTCTTCTGTGTTAATGTTAGTCCTATTCAGACGGGTGGTGGCTACAAGGCGACGTGCCATAAATGAACAGAAGGTCCTTTGAATATGAGAGCTTACATAGCAGTGCGACAGGAGGCAGTGGCTACTCCGATCATGAATATGGTGCGTTTTGTAGATGATCTCCGTATTTCAGTGTTTTATGTTTACAATTGTCACAGTCTCTCTGATGTGCCCCCCTCCTAAAAGTCTTTTTTAGATACTTTATTTTTAGGTATATGTATATTTTGAGGCATATGTACAGGTATTTATTCTCCACTCCTTTATCCTCATTGTTGATCTGCCTGAGTGTGCTGTATGGAGGACGTTATTACATCTCACTGTGTGCTTTAATGTAGATGGCTGAGATCACAATATAACTCTCCTACTAATACTACTACTACTACGTGAGAGTAGGGCTGGGCGATAAAAGGATAATGCTAATTACCATGATATAATTGTCCTCGATATCGATATGCCAATTGCTTGATATAAGTTCAACATAATTTAAGACGCAACATGCTGCTGACGACGCGTTCTGCATCACAAAATGACCTCACTTTCACACATTTCTCAGTACTTGTCAGGACCGGCAGTGGAGCACAAGCACAAACACAGCCGTGAAAATGGGGGGTTTATTGAACAAATAACAAAAAGCAATAGAGCAGGTAGGCAGACAACAGACAAAACCGTCAAATCAACCGAGCAACTCACCAGAAGAGCAAGTAAGTCCAAAGCAACCTATTCAATAAGGGTAATCCAGCGAAATCCCAAAGGAAAATCCACAGTAAAAATCAGTCCATGAGAAATCCCGAAAGTAATAGTCCTCAGAGAATTAAGAAAAGATAAGAAGAATGCCAGCAGCAGTGTTTTTCATCGATGACTAAAACAACCTGCTTATTTTCTATCTTGGACTTGTGAAATGTGAAATACTGTTTGAGCCCATGGCGCTTTTGGTCTCCTTTCTGCTTTGAGCCCTTTTTTTGAACAGAGAGCTCCATCTAGTGGGGTCAGAAAATATAGCAAATTGTTCCGGAAGCGTCATTTTTGCTATCACTACTGTTTGGCAAGTGTTGTTTATGTTCTGACTAAATAAAACTGCAAAACTATGATTAACCATCTGGTCTCTGCAATTTCAGCACAGGAGTACAAATCAGCCTATAAACTGGAGAGAAATAATCACCTGACATTTATCGCGAAAGTGATCGATAATGACTAATATTAATTGTTTTTTATCGTAATAACATTTTTGGCCGTATCGCCCAGCTCTATTTGAGAGGACAACGTCTCACACATATACCTGTAGGACCCATCGGAATCCAAAGCTGGGATGCATTAATTTTATGACATCCAGAAGAATCTCCAAAGTCCGAATATCCCCATCAAATCGATCTCTCAGGTCTATATACTGCACCTAGGAAAAAGATCCAGACATCTTTCTGTGTCATAGTTCTCGATTTATATATATTTTCAAAAAAAGTCTTGGTCCATAGACGTGATTACACACCTTAACGGCCACAGGAGTCCCATCATGCAACTCTGCCTTGTGCACCTGAGCTAAGCTTGCAGCTGCTACTGGTTCATAATCAAATGTTTTGAACATCTTATCTGGCGTAGTACTGAAATCTTCCAGAAAGAGTGCATCTACCTGTGGGACAGAAAGCAAATGAGAAACAAGGACATGTTAACTGGTGTGTAGCTCAGCGGGTTATGGTGCTATGCTAGTGCTTGGAAGGATGTTGGTTTGAATCCCATGGCAAGCAAAATGATCTTATGATTGCTGGGCCATTCAACAAGGCCCTTAACTTCTCCAGGTTTGTGCAAAATTCAGAATTTATGCATGGTGTCCCACCCCCATAGAATTTCAGAGCCGTTCTATATTCAATCCTGAATTGTGCACAACCCTGGCTCGCTGAACTTGCTCTCTGACCAAAAGCTTTCCACACTTCACTTTGGACAAAAGTGCATGCTAAATAAACATGAATCTGGATATGGCCCTAACTAAGCGCATTTCATACTTCCTGGTCCTGCATGGACCAGCCAACATCCATCAAGGACCTACTGTAATGGATCTCACCTCCTTGTACTTCCGGCTGAGCGCCTTGTCCTCCAGCACTTGCAGGGTGCGAATGTACTCTGGGGGTAGCAGATGATTGAAGGAGCAGAGGCCCTGGCCCAACTTAATGTACAAGCCCCCATTCTGCACGGCACCACTGACCATGCTCTCTGCTGCCCTCTGGTGGCAGGCCGACATGCCATCCTTAAAAGCTGGGCTGCTCTGGCAAGGGAGGACAGGTCCTTCAAAAAGAGCACAGCTAGGAAATGATTTATTTATTTATTTTTTGACTAACAAACTAAGACATCAAAAACCGTAAATGAGCCTTACCTCATCCAAGCTGTGGAGCATTACATTGGCCGTCCACCAATAATCAACTGAAATCTGGATTCCGACAAATAGGGACCTGTCCACCAACAGTTCAGTGTGAGATGTGAATTTTTAGACTCAGAAAGCTGACCAACATAACCTACACCAGTGACACATGTGAAATAGGTGTTTGCAATGGTCACTGCTTGAAGTGGGGGAAAAACAGGTACAGTAAAATGCCGTTATAACGGACTTCAAGGGACCTGGAAAAACAGTCCATTATATCCAAAGTACGTTATATCCAGAGTTGCTGTATGCCCAGAACACAAGTACTCCCCCACTGTACGCACTGGTAAGTGTACTGAACGTCAGGGCATTCAGCTCCGCAGCTGGTGAACATGTGCAAAATTATTTTGAAATAATTATTTACATTTATTCTAACTTCTGCAACCATACTCCATCTGTCTTTATTTTACATACTTTATTCACTATGTTTTAAAATTCATGTGAATTTGCAGGAAAAAATGCAGGGCCCAAAACCCACCTACAGAATCGGCCAATCCCCTCTACCAAGATCCTCAACTTCCGCCGTTCCCGAGGATCCGACATGCCGTACTGGACTCCAGCCACAATGGGGGTGCCAAACAACAGGCCGAGCAGCATCTTCTTCAACAGCCCTCGGTCTTTTCCCCGTCTGCAGAGTGAAACCCCGGTGCTGAGCCAGCCATGTAAATCACCATCCTGCACAGAGACTGCCCTCTTCATTTGTACAGTACGAACTGGACCAGAGTAGCATCTCGCTTCGGACCCAATCAGCTAATACTGCTAAATCTCTGCAACAATTCCACCAGTAACCCGTCAGCATTTCTCACTAGAATTCTGCAGTGTGTGGTATTTGTAAACTTGGCGATTTTAGGTCTGTACACAAACGCCATAAGAATACATTCACTGTGTATATCAGGTTTTAACTGGACTTTCATTGACATTTACATAACTCTGTTTAGGTTACTCAGCGATCAAAGGGATTTCACAGAAGCATTCAGTTCTCTTTTTCATACTCTCTGAACGGTTAACAACAGGTTAAAGGGCATATTTACTTTCCTTATGCATACATTTTTGAAATAGCTGGTTACATTAACTGAAAACATAGATTCTCTCAAAATGCTAATCTATGTTAAGTTAAAGACCAGTGTATGAAAAGATTTTCATTAAGGTGTTCATTTTGCACCAGTGCATCTAGTAGATAAACATGCTGCTTAGTTGGGTGCCTCACCTGACAGACAGTGTTTGTTCTGCCACTTACCTGTGTGAACTGAAGGGCCTGCGCAGGACCACGTGGGACCCAGACAGTGTGGCTCCGCGCAACAGGGTCTGGTGATGGCGGCACAGACGCAGCTGAAACAGCACGACAGAGAGTGAGTGGAATATAATGGGCAGTCACAGGGGAACAAAGATTAGAGCCTCCAAGGAAACCAGGTCTTGGAGGGCATATCTTATCCACACATAGTGGATCTGATCTGAAGAACATTAAGTTATTTTCAAAAATAATTTAAAAACTCACAATCCTACCCCTCCCTGTGGCAGAGGAATTAAACGAATGTTTTCTCAGTGCCAAGGCCAGGGGAGATAATCCAGTCAAGTTTGTTGTTTTCATTAGTTATATCAGAGAACAACATGTTACAGACAAGATGATTTAGAGACTAGGCCACTGTGTCAGGGACCTATCCCCAGGGGAAATTTAAAGTTATGCAACAGTGGGAAATGTAAATTATCCTTTCTGAGATCATTTTTAGAATGAGTGGCACATTGCGGAAACATTCAAATAAATGTATTGAGTGATACTCATTAAGGAACGTATTTCCCTGTAATAAGTGTCCAAAGGGAGCGCAGGGAGGTTAGGGAGCACAAATAAACTAAAAGAGTAAAAACTCCAAGTCAATCAGGCAAAACAAAAGATTCGCCAGCACAACTGTTATTACTGAGATGTATCTGAGAAATCACTGCAGTTTATGGGTTAAAACCATTATCTTATTATGATTCTACCAGGGTTCCTCAATGGTCTTCCAACATTTAAGTTAACATGCGGATAAATACCATCCTACAGCTTTATGTGTATTTTCATAGTAACAAGAATATCTGGTCATATTGGGGGGGCTACCATTATTCTGCAGTGACTCGTGCAACGAATTCAAAATCTGTCCTGAAATGTTTACAAAAATGTTCGCTTTCGAGAAAAAGATCTACAAATAAACAACGCGAGGCTGTTGAAATCACCCGTTATAATACTGAAATTGATTATTGATGTATTCCCGTAGTTTTTTTTTTTCTTATTTGAATAACTTCAACTGTAATTGCAGGTCTGTGAAACTAAGTATACGAGTTTTAGATCACACGTAGTTCACGGTTAACCTGTTAATCTGTCACTTTAGTTTACCAGATCTTCATTATTGGCTTCTACAACAGGCGTTTAAAGCCGTGTTAGGGGCTTTCAACAGCTTCAAGGACATACGATACGATTTTAATGCTACTACCGTGTACGTTCAGGGCGTTAAAGCTCACCAACTAACTATCTAGAGAGCTGGCGAACACTGTCATTCAATTGATGTGACACGTTACGCAAACCGCTTTCAGCTGCTGAGACAGGAGACCCTGAAGGCGCTTAACATGTCGCCGGCCATATTCTCGCCTTCTTATCGCGACGCTCCTGGCCGCTTTCGCTTCGTCCGTTCGGCAGCGGCCGCGAAAAGGATAAAACACGTCGTTGCCAACACGTCAAGGTATAGCCATAGTCCCCACGACCCAAAGTCACTCAGACCGTCCCGCTCGCGCGCAGCCGGTCACGTGATGGACCGCCAGTCCGGTGTCGGTGTGGGCGATTCGGCGGGGTGTCCGCTGCTCCGCCTGAATGGTTAGCCTTCATTCAGCGGCTAGTCACGAGAATGTGTCGTTGCGTGGCACAAATACAAAGTATTTTAACAATTATACATTTATTTGTGGTTGCACAAAAATGTGTATACGCAATTTAGCGTAAAAGGGGTTAACCATGCAAAAAAAAATGTATATAAGGCAACAGCGTGTGTATTTGTTGTTTTATTCCGTAAAACAGGTCTTCCCTTTCACTTGTTCCGACGTAAAGCATGGATTTAAGGCGTAATCTCGTTGCCGATGTGTACTTGACGGATTTTTTTTTTGCTATTCCAACTAAATATTTATGTCTGTTTGCCTCGCTTCTTCTTTTATAAAGCTTCAACGTGCAATATATGGCACTGAATTTTTATTTTGAAAATGTAATTAGGGTAAACACAGGGAAAATATGCTTTCTGACTGACACCCCGGGGTCACCTGCCGCTGCGTAGTATATGATGGAGACATTACATCACATTGCATCATAATCACCTGCTGCACCTTTGAGGAAACTCACGTCGGACCTGACAGTGAACTTCTGCAATAAAAAAAACTAATTTGATATACTGTGGTTACGGTTAATTGCACTGGCCAGACTAGATGGCTTTGCGAGGAAAGAATGCTTTTTGGGTAATGGAGTAGCATGCACCTCGAATGCTGTGGGCGTCAGCTACAAGCTTTGTCCGATGCACTACCCCCCTACTAAGGCCGTTTCCACCCCAAAACACCCAGTGACGTTTGTGTAAATACAGCATCATGCACCCCTGGTGACCTGCCCACCGCTGGCAGCGCCTCCCGGAAGCCGTGCAGCTGCGCTGTCTCTGCGGTCTTGTGTTTCCTGTTTACGGGCGGGAAGAGCGAACGATAGCTCAGCGCGGATCGCATCACAGTGCTGGGCTTTCTCCTTCCGCGGACTGCACGCTGCTGCTGTCTGCTGAATTTCCAGTAACGGTGCCGCTGATCTGCTTTTGCTCCTGAGGGATTTTGATACATTTCAGTAGGTGCTGAAGTTTTTTTTTTTCGCCGCCACAAGGGATCTGGGCTGCGAGAGCAGATGGAGGACCATGCGGACTCTGGTGGTGGCGGTGCCGCTGCCTTGGCGGGGCCCTCGGTCGTGGTGACCGAGGTCCGCTGCCCGGCTGCCAGCCGCCCCCTGCGCCTGCTGGAGTGGAAGGTGAAGCCCGGATCGCTAGTTAACGTGGACTCCGTGCTGGCGCTCTGTGCCCCCGTGCCCCCGGAGCGGGAGGACGGCCCAGAGGAACGCCAGCGGCCGATCAGGCCATCGGAGAAGAAGGTGAAGTCAGACCGCGCCGGGGTGGTGCGGGAGCTGTGCTGCCAGCTTGGACAGCTCATTCCCCCGGGGTGAGTAGCACCGGGACCGGGCCACTTCCGTGGGTCCTCCGGTTTCTGATTCGTGGGACTTTATATGCTAACGGTGTTTGGCTAATTAGCTTTAGCCTGCTGTTGTGGCGTTAATAATAATACATGTGCGTGTCCACCCCTATTATTAACGCCCTGATGCGCATTCTTTGCAAAAAAAATGTCCAAAGATATGCAAAGCACGTTTTTAGTTTCAGTAAGCGTGTGATCGGTTGTTGACATGCAGGATAGGCTCAGCATGGTTGGTCTGCTTAATGTTGCCGGTAGTGAAAGTTTGACATGCGGTAATGTGACTTTCCTTTTCCGAACTGATGCTTTTTTGAGGACAGCAGTCGCCCAGACAAGGACAGCTGATAAGAGCTGGAAAAATGCTTTTTATGAGTTTTTGATGTAGCTGATACTGTTGTTACTTCTAAAGTAAGCATGTGCAAGTAACCAGGTGAGTTTATGCTTGATGGTTTTTATCTGGTATTGGTTTAGTATTATCATATATATTAATAATATATCCCACCTACGAATTATAATAGCCTAACCGTTTAAGTTGAGCTGTTGATCTAAGATGTGCTGTTTGTTCTCATAAGATTTATTTTGGAGCGGTTTAGATGAAGCACAGCGTACTGTTTGTGGACAACAGATCTGCTGTTAGAGCACATGCTAGTGATTTTTGGTATGATGTTTAGGGTCAGTACCTTTCTGTAACTTTCATTTCTGAAAGAGAAACTGTGCTGTTTGGGGTGTCTCTATTGGTAATATTTATGTTTGCTAAAACACAAACTGTTTCACAAGCGATGCTCAAAGTGACTTGTGTGACAGCATCTTTTTGGGATATTGTTCTGAAAAAGCAGGAATTTGAGGGAAAGGGAGCTAAATCCTGCCCTTTGGTAACAGACTGGACCCTTATGAGGGTTGTGACTCCTGGTAAAATGATAGACGTTTGTTAAAGATAAACCATTTGAAATAGTAGCTAAAATTAAAAAGTCTGATTATATGAATTATTGAGATCTGTTTTTACACCACACTTTAAAATAGAAAATTGGGAAAAATCCTCTGACAAGGGATGAGCACCCATGTGAGGGGGTACTGTAGGGGCGGGCTGAACGATGGCTCAGTGAGGGGCTCTGTACTCCCAGACCCCCAGTGTTTGAATCCGATTCCTTCTGTGTGTGTAGTTGGCGTCTGCTTACTGTATCTATTTAACTGTTTCTCTACACATTTCTTTGTACAAGCACTGTCTTGTACATCCTGGGATAGGCTAAGTAGTGATTAAAATGGACTTGTGTGGAATATAGGAGGAAAGTGCAATGTTTCCTTGATATTTATCCAAATATGTACACATGCTTGCATGTTTGTGATTTGATGTTTGTATGTGATCAGGTATTTACACTCTAGGTTTTCATTTGGTCGTAATATAATTCATAAAATTATGTGGGGTGTGTTATATGCATTTTCTTGTGTTGGACACACTTTTAGGTGTGTGGGTGGTCATCTTTCTTTCAGTCTCGGCTGTAGATATATATTCCAAACATAACTGTTCTGCCACACTGTAGCTAAAGGCTTAAGACCAGTTCTCCAGAAGAGGATGTGGCATCCATTGTTGGGATGTGGCATTCGATACAGGGACCAGTAAGGTGATGGGTTTTACAGTGCCGTACATATGCGGCATATGTTTAATGCAAATGAACTGGCTACATGGAATCATAATCCTGACATTGTTTTAATAATAATTTAACACTCCCGGGCAGAGTTGAATGCCCCCCCCCCCACCCCCGCCCGCACTGCCACTGCCACCTACGCCCCCTCCTCTCTGTGATTAAAAAGCATCCTTGCTGCATTGCATGCCTGTTGCACCTTGACTTTTAGCAAGAAGGAATGAAAAATTTTGAATGACACTCAACAGGTTACCGGAGTATGTCGGTAATTCAGTAACTGAGAGACTCTGGGTATTTTTAAATGGATTTTATTTTTGTTAAATACTAGGTTTGTTAAAAACTAAGTAAAATAGGTGTCAGGGTGTTACCCTTTAAATATGCCGAGTGTTTTTTTTTTCCTCCTTCTCTAAATGCCATCATTCAGTGACAAATCGCTGCAGCAGGTTTCATGTGAAAGAGCAGGGCGTTTATAATGAAGTTTCAGGACGTGCAAGTGTCTCTTTTAAAGTAGAGACGGCGGCTCTGGGTGTAAAGCAGCAGCAGGCAGAGAACGACCACGCCCACCTAGACTGGCAGTGTTGTCCAGACCATTTTTATTAAATTGCCCCTTAATTAAAAAAAAAAAAAAAGAAAAGCAAATATGTTTTTGTCCAAAGGCATGATTAATGTGTTCTGTGTGATAAGTAAGTTTTTGCATTGGCAATAAAACGTGTTTTCATTGCCAATGGTAAATATTGTGTAAAAGAGGTTATTAAATGGGACAAGATTAAATGCATCCATCTGTTTTTCTGCTATGTTCAATGTAATCATAAAATAGGAGGGAAGTAGCTGATTCGTGTGGTATTTAAGACTTTCCCAAACCCACTGTCGAGGGGGATGGGCCATTTAAATCCTGATTCTACGAATGAAAATGGTTTTGTGGTATTAAGGAGTTATTAAAGAAAATTGCATTTTCCATTGATTTTTCATCTTTGCTTTTTAAGATTGCCTAGCAATACAGCTCACTAACAGCAGATGGCAGCATCTGTGTGTTTATAATTCAAACAGTCTGAAAATGCTTTTCTGTGTGAGAACAGTGATCATTTCAAACTTTGCTGTTCGTGCAGATGTATTCTGGTTGAGAGGTGAGACTTTGGGCTTGATGTGTAAAGCTGTGTTCTGTGCCAGGAGCGTGTTGGCCAGGATAGAAGAGTGCAGCCACCCCATCGTGATGAAAGGCCTGTGTGCTGAGTGTGGCCAGGATCTTACGCAGTGAGTGCAGCACGTGCATGCACAAACACACGTGCACAAACACACGTGCACAGATGTATTGCGTTTCAATTAATTGGTAGAGGTAACAGCATTTTGCATGGATTCCAACTGGGATTCATTTTTATTTCCCCTTCCAGGCTGCAGAACAAGAATGGCAAGCCGCAAGTCCCCATCTCCACAGCTACCGTCTCCATGGTGCACAGTGTCCCAGAGCTGATGGTCAGCTCAGAGGTGAGATCTCTGATGCAACGTCTGGTAACCCTTGTACTCTGCGCTGCGGTCTGCAGAACTGTTCCCTGATTGGTTTGCTACGGCCGTGCTCCCCCCCCCCCCCCCCCCGATAGCAAGCGGAGCAGCTGGGCCGGGAGGACCAGCAGCGGTTGCACAGGAACCGGAAACTGGTGCTCATGGTGGACCTGGACCAGACACTCATCCACACCACGGAGCAGCACTACCAGCGCATGTCCAGCAAGGTGAAATGAGGCCCTGGGGGGGTGCGGTCTCCACCGTGGCACGGTATCTGCCAGAAAGCGGCGATTTTGGTTAAGGGTTATACTATGAGGTGCCCGTTTCCTGTGAAAGTGAATTTGGTGTCATTTTAAGGTGTTAAAGTGATGGTACACAGGGCAACTTTTTGAGCAATGTTGCTGGGCAATTGCCAGCCAGGTGAGTGAAAGGGCAACTGTTCTGGATCTGGATGATTCTGAGACATTTGAAGTTTTTCCAGATAGAAATTTGTTGCCCGGTATCAGTGGAAAAGTGCCCAAATATCATTGCACACATTTTATGATTACATTGAACATAGCAGAAAAACAGATGGATGCATTTAATCAGCAGCACTGCTCCAGGACTTCCCCTCTGTATCATCACTCTAATGAAGCCTTTTGTGGTGACCATTTTGTTGTAATAATAGATACTTTATTGATCCCCGTGGGGAAATTCTCTTTAAACCTCCTCGCCCTTGCCCTATGTAGGTGAGGGCAAGATGGCCACAAATCGCAGCCACCCATAGCAGCACCCAGGGAGCTGGGGTTTAAGGGCCTTGCGCTGAGGCCGGGCTCGAACCGGCGACCTTCTGATGACAGGCACAAAGGCTTAGTCCTCTGAGCCACATGCTAGTTAGAATATAGACTGTAAGACTTTAAACTGCTGACTGTTCCCTGTGTTGGTGAGGCCATGGCGCGGTTGCCGTCGATGGTACTCCCGGCAACAGGACCCCCCGCACGTTTAATGGTGGAGGCTGTTTGGGCGGAGCTGTAAAGAAGGCGACCCTCTCCCCCCAGGGCGTCCTGCACTTCCAGCTGGGCCGTGGCGAGCCCATGCTCCACACGCGGCTTCGGCCCCACTGCCGTGAATTCCTGGAGAAGATCGCCAGGCTGTACGAGCTGCACGTCTTCACCTTCGGCAGCCGGCTCTATGCGCACACCATCGCAGGTAGGCGGCCGGGCCGAAGGGGGCGGCTCTCTGGGGCTGATATGGCCGCCTGTCTCTTCGGTCATTGTTAACCCTGCCCGCTGTCTAGCGGCAGTCTGTTCAGAGTCAGAGGCCGTCACGGTGGCATGGTAGGCTTGAATGTCATCCCTGCTCACTGAATGTGTAGTTTACATGCTCTCTCCGTGTCCTGAGGGATTCCTCTCACAGTCCGAAGACATGCTGTGTCGGAATTGCCCATAGCGATTTTGTGTGTGTGTGTGTGTGTGTGTGTGCGTGTGCGCGTGCGCGTGCGCGTGCGTGTGCGCGTGCGCGTGTGCGTGTGTGTGTGTGTGTGTGTGTGTGAGCATTCCTGCCCCCTGCACTACCTGGGTTAGGCCCGAAGCTCACCGTGACCCTCTGCTGGCGAAGCAGTGGAAGATGGATTCGTAATATGTTACATGTTTCTTGTCAAAAGGAAGCTGCTATAACTTTTTTGTAACTTCCAAATAGTAAACTGACCTGACAGTTACTGAACCGGGAATGTTTTGCTGATTAAGCATTTTGGTAGACGGGAGGATATCGAAACATGTCAGTGGTGAAATTTCTTGTTTCGTAATTTTGACCTTAAATGAGCTGCGTTGTGCTGATGAGCTGCCTAGTGTATTATTTCACAGCAAGGATGAATTGGAACATTCTATAGTCTGGACACTATGCTGTTCATGTGCTTACTGAGAACCCCCTCCTTATTACAGTAGTGTCTTTGAATGAATGGGTTCTGTTTGTAATGTTTGTCTTTGCGTCACTGCAGGGGAAGAACACAGAGGAACTAATCATGTATTAATGCTGTTTAAATTATGGCAAAATATAAGGGAAGTTCTAATGAGAAAACCCAGCTGGTGATGATAAATGATTCCCGTGACTCGGGTGCTGATATCTGTAGGGGGGATTCTGATGAGCTTAGCCTGGACACTGTTGTTTATATTCTTCCCTCACTGATGAATTTGTTGCTGGGACTCATCCGAGTGATGTAAAATGGGGAAAGATGTTATTATGACTTGAACTGGAATTTTTTTAAGTGCAGGCAGTCACCAGATTACGAACAAGATCGGTTCCCTATGTCTGTCTTTAAGTCGAATTTTTAGGTAATTCGGAAATATAATGCAGTACGTAATAATAATAGTTTTGGAGTAATAATAATAGTTATAGAGTAATAATAGTAGTCACTACGTACGGTAATGTTCTGTACCTCGGGCCGACAAACTACTGAAGCCATGCAATTGATCCATACTTGTTAGATAGATTAGGTATTGGCCATATGTGACTGATCCATGTCCGATACCTATTTAGTTTTCAGCAGTCTGTAAAGAGGTTTCTCCTATTTCTTGTTAAATTGATTTGTTCAATTAATCGTACGTCTGCACTTTCCCATTATAGATGTTTTTTGCAGCATTCAAGCTGAACGCTAATGTTGCCACTCAGCAGGTGTGAGCGTAGTGACTTCCGGGGCATTTTAAGCTTTCGCCAGTTGCGTATACTTTTTTGGAAGATATTCAAATTGACGCTTAAAACAAGATGTACAAACAAGGAGGAAGTGTTTATGTATGTTTCTAGTAGCCTAATTAAACATTAATATATAAAGTGTATATATACATCTATTTTGTTAAAATATTTCAAAAGAGCTCTTGTATCTGTATCAGCAGTTCGGAATCAGATGGGAACTGAAAAAATGTGGATCGGCCCATTCCTAGTTTTTATTTTTTTTATATACAGGCATTATGGTTATGTTCGTGAGTGCAAGTTGTCGCTAACTTGGACATTCTTAATCTGGGGACTGCCTATAGTAAAATTATTTTATGTCATTACTTTATTACTAACTTGTAGCGGTATGTGATCATTTACTTTGACTACCACTAGATGGCAGCATTGCACTCATTTTTGCATGCTTTCCATTGGATCAGAGGGTAGGCAGTGTGCCAGTGGTTAGGCGCTTATATGCACAACAATAACAAATGTCTCTGTTGTACAAAATTCAGGTAGGAAATCTATTGGATTGTTTATTTCAAGCGATTTTTCATGAAGATTCCGAGCCTCACTTAATTAAGCTCTTGTGCTGAGATTTCGGTACCTGATTTATCCCATTCTGATTTGTATGTATCGTGCATTACAGAGCATTCATTACAAAGCACCATAGCTGAAATGTGTTATTTAGAGCCCCATCTAAGAGGTGACAGGTGCTTTTTTTTTGAGCCGGGCTGAGGCTGGCCCTCTGTTCTGCTGCAGATGAACATTGCGGAATGACTCTGAGAGTGATAAACACACTTGCGAGAGTCTCGAGTTTGATAAATTCTCTGAAAGCGAATTTCGACCAAGTAAGGGAGTCGATAAGTGTGCTGCCAGATAAACCATGGGGAAGGTTGGTTTGGGGAAAAAGCCCCCCCCCCCCCCCCCCATGAACAAATGGCTCACGTGAGAGATGTGGCTGCTGTGCTTGCTGATTTATCCCTTTTAAGGATGGCTCCCGTCTCCCTGAACCAGCCTCTTATCAGCCCTGAAAGCCTCCTTCTGTTTCCTGCAGGCTTTTTGGATCCTGAAAAGAAGCTTTTTTCCCACCGGATTCTTTCGAGGGACGAGTGCATCGACCCCTTCTCGAAGACGGGGAACCTCAGGTGCCCCCCCCCCCCCCCTTCTTTAATGGTGAAGGATTCTATACCCTCCCTAGCTCTGTGTAGGTTGCGTTTTCCCCCCACCTTGCCACTGTTTTGCCCCTCATGAGTAATTCTCCTGGCTGTCCCCCATTCTTACTTAGGTTTTGAGCAGGGATGCACATAACTGGTACGCAGGTACACATTTGGCGTATAAAGTGATATATGTGGCAATTTCTTGCCGTAACAGCGCAAATGCACTTAAAATATGTATAAAAAATATATTTTTAAAATATTTACGCTGTTATGGAAAGATATTGGCATTCATTTTAACCTTTATATTGCAAATATATACTGCATCTCTGGTTATGAGGTTTTGGTCCTTATTGAGTGTTTTTACCTGCACTACAGTGTAGTCGCCCATTTGGCCTCGACCAAAGCCTTTATTTTGCTCAGAATGTTGATGCAGTCAGACAATTTTCCCCCATATTGACCGATAGCACATACTCTATCCCTAGATCAGGGGTGGGCAATCTTATCCGCAAAGGGCCGGTGTGTATGCAGGTTTTCGCTGCAACTCCCTAATTAGATTACTAATTAGAGGACTGATTGGCTGAAGAGTCCTCACACCTGGGTTTGAACAGCTGACCTAAAGGTTATCCCAAAAACCTACACACACACTGGCCCTTTGCGGGTAAGATTGCCCACCCCTGCCCTAGATGCTAGTATTTGTTATACTGTTTTGAAATAAAAACAGATTACAGATTGGTTTTTGCTTGTTTTTAAACAGGAATCTGTTTCCCTGCGGAGACTCCATGGTCTGTATCATTGACGACCGCGAGGATGTGTGGAAGTTTGCGCCCAACCTCATTACGGTGAAGAAGTACACTTATTTCCAAGGGACAGGTGACATAAACGCTCCTCCCGGCTCCAGGGAAGCTCAACTGAAAAAAGGTAGGGGAACTCCTCCGCGCGTCTCCGTTTGCCGCATCACGTGATCAGGAGGGCCGCTACGTTCTGTATCGGGAAATGGAGGATCGGATGGGGTTTAGGATCGGCTGGTGGGAGAGTGTGCACCGGGGCTTTTAGCAGTACCTAGCATGGCAGGGATTTACAGGATGTTCTTGATGGCTGGGAGGGAGCAACACTGCGGACTGTCTGCGGGCCCACGAGGACTGGGTTAAGAAACACTGCCTTAAAGGTTCCAAAAATGTTGACCCGCTGCATGAGGGGATGTTCTCGTAGGAGGGCCGAGATCATGGTGGATTCTGACGCGGTACTTTAGAGCAGTGCTCTTCTTGGGTAGGAGATAATCTCTTATGCTGTAGAGTGAGCTCTGTGTAAGTGTGGAGTACCATGCTCGCGTCATGCTCGCGTCATACTCGCACCCTACTCGCATGATACACAAGTCTGTGGGAAGCCACTGTCGCCTTAATGGGTCATGTCGCTTTCTGGGACAGTCTGGTGATACTCGACCCGCTCTTCCCCTGCATGCGCAGTGTCATCACCGCCGGGGGGTTGGGGTGGGCGAGAAGGGGCTGGGCCGTAAGCGGATGGCGGTATAACGAGCTGACAGCCCCCGGCTGCCGGTGCCTCACAGGAAACGGTGTGAACCACCTCGGTGCGCTTAGTCAGGGCAGGGGGGCGTGAGCCGGCCTGCTGTTATTGCGGTTTTTATAGAAAGTGGGCCTTTCCTTCTGCGGGGGTATTTTTAGGGAGGCGTTTCTGTCAGCCAGTGCGGCCCATTCTGGGGGGGGGACGCCAGCCGCGCAGAGGTTAAGGATGCAGGCAGATCTGTGGTTTGTAGACATTACTTTATTGATTTAGCCTGTAGATTGACATGCCTGCAAGTAGCCTCAGCTACTCTCTGCATCTCAGATCATATTGTAAAAATCAGATCCTGGATCAGTTCTGTGTAGAGGCTGTATTTGAGCTCAGAAATTAAAGTTTTCCTGTCAAAAGGGTTGAAAATCTCACATTAAGTGTCCAACTTGCCCAAGCTGGTCACATGACCTGGGGTTCCACAAGCTGATCGTGTCGTCTTCTCACAGCCAATCACGTTGGCAAGCCGACGGAGGGCGCCGAGCTCACGCCACTGGCCAATAAGGAGGAGAAGAGCAATGGCGTCCGGAAACGGTGCCGAGAGCGGCCTACTGGACGGGGCCCGGCCGAGCCGGAGGACCGGGCTGCTGGGGATAATGCTTCCGGGTCTCAGGAAATCGTCGGCGAGCGGACTCCTGTTGCCGAGGAGGGGGCAGGGCCTGTGGCGGGCGCCTCAGAAGGAGGTGACACCGCAGACGCGACGGAGCCGGCCGACAGCGCGGGGGTGACGCCGGCCATCCCTGCCAGGGGCAAGGGTGTCACAGAAAGGACTAGCAACGATTTGGACTTCGATCTCTCCAGCGATAGTGAGAGCGAGCCGGGCCTAAGGAACCCATCGCACTCGGGGAGCGAGGACGAGGGGGTGCAGGGCAGGGAGAAGGACCCCAGTGCTGGAGGGGTGAACCTGGCCGTTGGGGACTTTGGGCAGGGGGATGCCGGGCTGTCGCTGGTCCCTCCTCAGCAGGAGGGTCTCCAGGATCTGGACAATGGCTGCCCCGACAGGAAGGAGGCAGAAACGGAGTCCCAGAACAGCGAGCAGTCCGGCGTGACCGTCGGCGAGGAGCAGGAGGAGGACCAGAGCGCCGAGGAAGATGACGAGACGGAGGAGCCCGACCTGGACCAGGACGACCACTTGATCTACCTGGAGGAGGTCCTGACCCGCATCCACAGCGAGTACTACGCCCGCTACGAGGCCTTCCTGAAGCAGGGGAGCGAGGAGATGCCTGACATCCGCAAGATCGTCCCCGAGCTCAAGAGCAAGTCCTTGGCTGGGACGGCCATCGCATTCAGCGGCCTCTACCCGACCAACTACCCCATGGAGCGAACACGCGAGTGCTACCACGCCAAGGCACTGGGGGCCCGAATCCATAAGAACCTGCTCCTGAACCCCAAAGATGTGAACCAGACGACACATCTCATCGCAGCCCGAGCCGGTGAGTCCCCTCGTGAATGCGGAATGCACTGGATAATCCTGCCTCGTACCCATTCGTGCTCCGTCCTTCCGAATCGATATCTGTATCATCCTGCCAGTCAGGTATTGGTTCTCTCTCTTGTCTTTTTGGTGATTTCAGCCATTTCTTATCATTCTCATGCTTGGTCCATGGTCAATTTATGCAGTGTATGAGCTATAACATAATTAAAAACGCATGAGACAAACTATCTTTAAATAAAATACAGCATTTGACTGTCTGCACCACACCGGTGTGTGCAAGCTGTTCATCTTGGTTTCCTCCGATTTATTATTTAGTTTCCTTTTGAAGTCCAGAATTATGCAGCTAAGTCAGTTGTACTCTGCCATGTGATTGGTTGACTTCATACCCGGGGCGTCCTCTGCCTTGTGCGCACAGTGGTTCCCAGGATTTGCTCACTGGAGCCCTCTGCTGGCGCAGAAGGATCGGTTTGCACCAGAATCTCTCTCCCAGATGATAGGACCTGTCAGTTGCACAGTTGTAATTTTATTCTGGGGTTGATCTGAAGTTCACATCATCCACGTTTTGTTGAAGTGCCAGTGGATTGTCATTCTGGGAAGCTGTCTGTCAGGTTATGTAAGCGGGTGATGTGGGTAACGATGTCGTAACGAGGCGGCGAATCAGGTGGGCTCATCAGCCCCCTGTTTAGCGATAAGACCCTGTAAATGGCATTATGCTGTAAACAGCGGAGGATGTGCAGAGATGCACAGGTGACAGATGAGTCCTGTGGGTCTCCTTCCATCATTCTGGGGGGGGTCACCGGTTTCAAAGCTTCTTTACAAGTTGTGAAATTCCCAAGCTGTCTGGAAAAGAGAACTGATGCCCTTGTTACAGCTGATTGTTCTTAATGTCTGTCTGATTGCCATTTATTTCGTAATACTTATACATTGTACATGCAGTTATAAATCCTAGGTCGTCTGTTTCATAATTGTTCTACATTAGTTATTTATAACCATAAATTTATGATTCCAGCATACAGCTCTTTCAAGTTACCATTGTTACGAATGCATATATAATATTTAAAACCAATGAAGATTTGTAAATCTGTTTCATGTGGAAACATGTTTTATGCAGAGTTTTGCTCTTCGTAGCATTTTTGATCCAGCTCAGTTATGATGATGATGATGATGATGATGATGATGATGATGATGCCAAGCCAAGTGGAGTCCATGGCGAATGAGAACCTATTAGTTTAATATTTTGCTTGTTTTTATTCAAATTTTTTTTTTTAGGTTTGGCTCATTAGGCATTTGTTACAGTGTTTATTAGGGAGCTGCCATAAGCGTGCTGGTGGGATAACGACTACAAATCGTCCCAGTAGAGGGCACCAGTCACATCAGTGCTGAGTGCTTTGCGCTCTCCGGAAGTGTGGTTCTGGGGGGAGGGGCTGGAGTGTGTGGTTCAGCGGGTAAGACGACTGTGCCTGTGATTCAAAGGTTGCTGGTTCAAATCCCATGGTCGGCGGACTGATTTCACCATTAAGCTTTTAAGCAAGGCTCTTAACCACTAGTTACTCCTGGGACTGGCTGACCTTCAAATGTACCTGTTTGGATGAAAATGCCTGCTGAGTAACTAAAAACGTAAATGCACATCTTCAGAACGGCCCTTCGTTAAGGCCTTTCTTGAATGCCAAATGCTTTCATTCTGAGCTCAGGTTGGTCTAGATTCCGATTGGCTGGAGGCAGTTTCCCATGGCTGCGGGAGTGAGGGTGCTTCTCAGGGCTGGCGTGGGAGGCACCTATAAAGGCCTCCTGACAGTGAAATCCAATTAGCTTAACGTGAGGCATGATTGGCTGGAGGGGTCATCTTCCGGTAAAGGGGTCCAGGCTGAAAGCTCTCCTTTCGTGTTCCTTCATGGAGGGTGGAAACACTTTATCAGGGCTGTGATGGAAGCTATACATTTGCGATGCTAGCTTTGGAGCAATCTGGAAAGGTTTCCAGTTTGATCGTTGTTGCCGAATATGTTTGTCTGAGTGGGTCATTTCTGAAGATGAATTGACAGGCTTAGCTGAGGTATGTAAACACAAGGGGGCGCCATTTGTAAACAGCACTAGATAGTCTGCATGGTGTCCTCCAAGCCGGCTGGGCGTTTGTGTATATATTGATGCAGGGCTACACTTGTGACGTCTATAGCTCCCAGTTGAGCCTTCGTGGTGATGTTATCCAGATTGCTGGTTAACCGTGGTTTCATCTCCTTGACGTCCTGACCTTTATAGTCACAGACGGTCCCAAGAATCCAAATAAGATATCGCTTGCAAGTGTCAGGGCCCTGGGCTGTGGCGGACAAAAGTAATGTTTATGTCCTTCATGCCCTTTTCGACATGCCCTGGCAAAGAGCGAGTGTGTGTGTGTGTGTGTGTGTGTGTGTGTGTGTGTGTGTGTGTGTGTGGGTTTGCATAGATCACATTTGAGGACCAAATTGTTCCCAAAGTGTAGTAAAACCTGAAATATCCCTACTTTTGGGGACATATTTTGAGGTCCCCATTTGGATAACCCAGTGGTTCCCAAACTGGGGGGCGCAGAGGTATTGTGGAGGGGCACACTGATGGAATAGCCTCAGGGGCAAAATAATCTCTTCACGGACTGGACGATTAAACAAATAAAGCAGTGCAACATTACAGTAACTAACAATAAATAAACCACTAACTTACTTGTACTGTTAGAGCATTTATGTAATTTATTTAAACTTTATTTTACCAGGTAAATTAACTGAAAACCAGTTCTGACTGCTTTACGTGATATTCGGGAGAAATAGCAGATAACGCATCGGAACTTCCGTCATACCAACGTCACGTTCTTCAGCCAATAAGGGCAAAGTCTGTGGCTGAGGCACCACTGAGGCGCTGACCCGTGTGCAGCTGCACCAGCATTCTGTCAGCCCTGAGGTCACGTGACGTCACGCTGCTGGCCTTTGTGCTGTGTGTCTGACTGTTTTTGCCTGACCGCCCCCCCCCCCCCCCCCCCCCCGCCACGTACCCCGCAGGCACGGAGAAGGTGCGCCAGGCCCAGGGGTGTCGGCATCTGTACGTGGTGAACCCCGACTGGCTGTGGGCCTGCCTGGAGCGCTGGGAGCGGGTAGAGGAGCAGCTCTTCCCACTGAAGGACGACTACACCAGGGCGCAGAGGTGAGAGGGCGCCCCCTAGCTGCGAAAACAGCTGGAAAAGAGCAAACACGTGGACCGCCTGTGGGTCCCTGATGTTCGGGTTGGGAAACACTGCACTAGACATTCACCGTGCTTTTACTGGACACATCATTATTAATGCTTACTATTGTAATATGGCCTTTCGGTGCTCAGGAGCAACAGCCCGGCCCCCTTTCCTGACGTCCAGGGCAGGTTCTACTCAGCCTCGCTCCAGTCAGCGCCGCCCCAGCCCAAGCCGGCGCCGGCCCCAGAGCTGCGGACGTACGACCCCGTGACGGGGAAGCTCATCCGGAGGGGCCTGCAGGCGTCACGGCCGCTCTCCTTCCAGAATACCTCTGCAGCCCCCCTGCCGCTGCCCCTGCACGTGGCACAGTCCTCCTTCAGGTACAGCATAATTGTGGGGGACCATTAAGGGGGGGCCATTGGGGCTGTGGTCCTCTTTTAGATGCATTGTAGCCTTGGGGGCCCCTTAGGGTGGTGCGTTGAAGTTGTGGTCCTCCTTCTGATACAGTGTACCAGTGTACCCATGGGGATGCATTAGGGGGGGCCCCTTAGGGCTGCAGTCCTCTTTCAGGTACAGCATAGCTGCAAGGTCCTTTAGGGCGGCGTCCTGGGGCTACAGTCCTCCTTCAGGTATGGCATAGCCATGGGGGTCCGTTATGGCCCTGGTCCTCATTTGCATACACCATAGTCACAGGATGCCAAAGCAGGGTCCCTTGGGGTCACGGTCCTTCTTCAAGTATGACATAGTCGCAGGGTCCCTTGGGGTCACGGTCCTTCTTCGAGTAAGACATAGTCGCAGGGTCCCTTGGGGTCACGCTCCTTCTTCGAGTAAGACATAGTCGCAGGGTCCCTTGGGGTCACGCTCCTTCTTCGAGTAAGACATAGTCGCAGGGTCCCTTGGGGTCACGGTCCTTCTTCGAATAAGACATAGTCACAGGGGTCCCTTAGGAACATTCCTAAGAGCCATGGTCCTCTTTCTAATTCTTCTAGGTCAGTATGTCTTGACCTGAATCATTTAGGCCCATCCATATCTCCTCCTACAACAGGAGAATCCTCGCGTTCCCGCGCTCTCTGCAGTTTCACGTCACCCTTTAAGCATCACTGCTGCACTGGGTCTCTCTCCAGGGCTATGGACTGTGTCAATAGTGATGTAAGAACCCTTCTCAGTACTGACTCTGCCAGTGACACAGACCTGCTTATTTAGTGCCCTGGCCTGGAAATGCTGTATGCAGCATTATATATATATTTTTTTTAAATTCCTGCCTAATTTGGTTTTTGAATTAGGCTTTATATCATCCTGACGTTAGTCACTGCTTGTAAATATTAATGTCTGGTGCTGGAACAAGCACCGTGACTGATTTAGCATCATGGGCCTCAGCTGTTGGCGATTTTCATCAGATCTCCAGCTGCTTTCCGGCGCAAGAAAAACGCCGATTATGTGGCGAATGCAGAAAGCGTGGAAGAGTGAGTATGTGGTGTAAAACGTGGTGCTGTGTCAGCAGGGGCGACGGGCCGAGGTGCTGGGAGAGTGTCAGGGAAACGGGGCTTGTCGCCGTTCTCACAGAATCCCTCGTGTGAAAGATATTCATTACTTTACACTCTGGTGTAGGGTGTGTTAAAACCACACCACCTTACTGGACGACTTTACTGGCTCCCCAGTGTTAGGAGTGAATGTCTGAGTTACTGAGGAACACATTTTGGTTACATTGATGGGGTCCAGTGGGGTCCAGACCTCTTATCCCTCGATCGGTGGGTGGCCCTGTTTTAGGTGAACGCCAGCCTTCACCTGCAGGACAAGCACGGTTACCGTGGTTTTCCTCTGGCTGGGCAATAGCCCTTTTGGTTTACCGTGCATCGTCGACAGGGGGCGATACTGAGGTGCCTCATGCTTCTCAGAAACTAGACAAATAGCGGGTTCCTGTAACCAGTACAGGATCATGAATCCTTGTTAAAAGGAAAAAAAAATCCAGAGTGATCTGGGGCTTCTTGTTCCCTTTTTATTGGGATGGTGCGTATTAAACACTTTTCAACGGCATGGGAGCGAAATGTTCTCAAGCCGTCTGTTTGAACTCTGCGAATAACGGCATGGTTAGTTTACGCTTTGGGCTAAATGTTGGCTTAATAAACACCTTTGAATTTTGAAGTGTAATGCGCCGCTTTGGGCCTGGTCCTGCGTGCTTCCGCCAGCGAGGGCGAATTTCCAGTCACGACGACCTGAGGGAAAGTCAGAGCAGCTTTGGTTCACCCTTTACTGTAATACCCCGCTGCCGGGCCGGGGACACTCATTTTGGCAGTATACTGGTAGTATTTGGCAATAGTATGTTAGTATTATAGTATTATGACACCTGTGTTGTAATGTTCTTGGGAAGCAGTACTGGAAAATCAAAGGAACTTATTTAGTAACAAAGCGTAATGGTAATGGGGCATGGAAAATGAGCATGACCACACATTAAGATGCTTACACACTGTACCGAATGGCTGGGACCTTAATGAGGCCTGTGGGTGCGGAATACGTGGGGGTTCCTGCCCAACCCTGAGGGGTGCGTGTCATTGGGACTGGCTAGGCGGACAGCCCGAGGTCTAATGTCCGGAAAGGCCCCCCATAAAGTGCGGCCAGCTGGGAATCCTCTCCTTGTATAACAGACTCCGTTTAAGGGTGCGACAGTTTCCTTTTGTTCTACAATCAGGTTATCACTGCACAGGGAGAGTTCATCAGCGAAATAAGGCAAATGGAGTCTTATCGACCCTATCAGCGCACATAAATACTGACCGAAATCCTGCGCTGACTCCAGCTCTGTAGCGGCTCTGCATCCATTTTAAAGGTATTATGGGTAAAAAGCCTATTCAGTGCTGTCCCTGCTTCCAATTCCCAGCATGCTGTGCATTACATCAGTCAAAGCCATGGCTGCTTATGTGAGGGTTAGTGGAAACTTTCTGTGAGAGGGTCTCCGTTTCCTCATTGCCCACCATGAGCGATCCGACTGTTCCTTTCATTTACGATGGGTCACATCCTTTCAGAGTTGGTAACTCCCTCCCGCGGGACACAGTCACCTGTGCAAAGTGCCCTGCATGATTAAACACCCCCGCGCTGTCATGTGTGTCCTTGATTTCGCCATCGTTTCCCGGTGGAAAGCTATTTCAGTTGCTATGGTTACCAGAGAGGTCCTGTGTGGTCCCCACTCCCCTGCCTGTGTGGGGCCTTTTTCTATAAACCCCTAGTTGAACATTTAGTGTCTGGAGGAGATGAAGTGCGACCAGCGGGAGCTGAGTGTGGAGAGTCTGGGACACGGCCTGTTCTGCCCCATGCTCTATCTCAGGCCCGGCGGGGGGGGGTGGCTGGTGACTGCCCATGTTCGTAACGTGTTTGCGTATGTCTGTGGTGCCGTGCAGGCCAGCGCATCCCCCCGCCCAGCAGGACAGGGCCCCCCCAGGCCAGGACGACGAGCAGCCGGGGCCGTCGCGAAGGAAGAGGGAGCCCAGCATGTCGGAGACGATGCCTCTGTACACGCTCTGCAAGGAGGACCTGGAGAGTATGGACAAGGAGGTATGGACACTAGCCAGACGCTTCTAAAACCAGCCATATATACAGAGTGGAAACAGGGTAATAGGAAAAGGGAGAACGCTAGAGAACTACAGAGGAGAAGAACAAGAAAAACCTCTGGGGGTCCAAGACTGACTGCTCAGCCACCCTTGAGCATGCTAACATTGCATTAGTCTTTTTTATTAATAGCTTGTAGTTGGAGTTAGTTATTTTATTAATAGCTTGAGGGCTGCACCCACGATGTCATGCTTCCGTGGGACGGAATCAGCCCTAAACCAGTTCAAACAGTACACCATCCAGACATAGACGTATTGATGGATGAACACGGTCTATCCATGCTGGCGTACTATATGTCCTCAAATAGTGGCTGGAGCCTTTATTTACCTAAGCTGCAGAAAAGGCAGGACTTTATTTAGAGGCAGGTCTTTATTTCCAATTCCCTCTGTTACTGCATTAAGCTCATAATACAAACATACCGAGTACAATTATTGGAAATATTCTCTTAAAATGTATAATGGTAGATTACAGTATTACAAGGCCATTAGTACCAGTATTACCTTGTGGAAGTGTGATCATAAAAGTTAACGTTTCATCAATGCCATGTAAATCATACATACGATCAATGTAACCAGTGTGTACTATGACCAGTCATATACCAGAGTTTACCGTAAATACACCCAACTAAATAACTCCTGAGTTACTCAAAATATTAACATTAATAGACATTCCCTTTTTTTACAGCACAGTCAAATATCTAATAAAGATCAGATTTAGTTTCAAGCAAAATCTGAACTAGAAAACTAGGATGCTGCATGATAGTTGCCTGTCATATAATAAGAATATTTCTGTATTTATTAACTGGCATTTCATCAAGCACTGAAACTGACTGAATACAACTTAGATACACATTTCTATCTGAACTCTGGATGTTTTTTCAGTTTCTTCCAAAACATATTTTTGAATACCATTCATAAATGTGCAGACTTTTTTAGGGTATGTTTTATTTATGCTGTTTCTTTATAAATCCCAAAATCTTCATAAAACTGTGCTTGCTTGTTTTTCCTGTCTATTTTCCTCGTACATAGTTGCAGTGCATTACGTGTTGAGGTGTGTTTAAGCAAGACTAAATTTAATAGGTCATCAGTCGAGATTCTCCTATCTAATGTCAAGGTGATGTTGAGCTCTCAAATGTGATAATTAACACGGCAGACTGTTAAAAGTCTTTCAGCAGGTTGTACTTCTTATCCACCCCCTCCCCCCTCATAGAGGTTTTTCTCCAAAACACAGGAAAGTGAAGTTCTGTTTGTCTGGCTCCATAATGAAGAGGCTGGCCCCCTCCTTTCATGTCAGCTAGGGGGTCGTTCTGCTGATGAAAGCCTTGCCGCTGCTATGGCCGCGACCCTCTCTCCTCGGCCGGTGGCGGCGTCCCCGCCGGCGGGCTGTGGGGTCTGCGCCCATTATGGCCGCTAATGGAAGCTGAGTGCCGCCGCCGGCTTTGACTGCGGCGCGCCTAGGAGGGCCTTGGGTCCCGCCTGCGGTTCCTCAGAACCTTTTCTCCCACAGAAGTGGGTTTTTCTGCATAAGAAAGAGATGTAATCCGGTTATCTGGGTGCTGGACTGAGATGTACCACAGGGGTTTCAGCATTTCTCTGACGGTCTGGCTGCCTTCGAGTTTCAGATGTTAGCTGGCCAGGGATTGTTGGCGTATGGAGGTGCTGCTTCAAATCTTATGAGCGTTTGCTGCAGTTCTATTGCAGTACTGCCTGTTCATGCAGTTTTTCGGTAGGGCTATAAGACAACGGATGTTGCGAGAAGTATTTTCCTCCCACAAGAGTGAATCTGGGGGAGACTGGTTCTCATTGGGTGGGCTGCTCATCTGTCTTAACCCAGAATCCTAATGAGCGCTTCAGGGAGCCGAACCTGGAGCCTCCCCCCCCCCCCCCTTGACGATTAAGCACTGTCGTAAAGCTTAGTGAGGAGACCAATTAAAAATCGGTACAATACCTTGACATCTTTTCACAGTTGGTGTTTTTGTTGTTGTTGTCTTCCCTCCACGTCCTTCCCCTGCCCCACCAATTAGCCGCGTTTCTAGATAACTAAACCATGCCACTCTCCAAACAGCTCAAACACGAACTCACTTGAAGGATCACGCCGAATCGTGATTGGAGAAAACTCAAGCCACCTGACAGTCAATTCAGACGTCAGAGGTCATGGTATGCAACTCTTTGTGAGGCAAGGACAAAATGACTGTACCTCCCTTAGGGTTGTCGGTCACCCCCCCCACCGAGAGTCTGGTCTTTTGCGGTAGATCCTTACTTGCAGTAATTACTCCTTCATGCTTCAGGTCATGAGTCTTGTGTGGCACGGCCGCTCTTCTCGCATTTTCCGTGACCTCCCGCCAATTCCTGCCCGTTCGGCACGGGGGAGGCTCCCTTTGTTATGACTAATATCGTGAAATTCATACATTCTGAACAAGGCTGATCCCTGTTCAGTTCTGTCCACCGTGATTCTGAGGCACGTCACACAATAAAATGATTAGCAAATTCGTCATGACGCCAGTCTTCCTGTGCCCCGGATGAGGTTTACTGTGCCGCTCCGCTGATATTAATTAAACGTTGGGTCTGGGTGCAGCCGTGGGTTTCGCGAGGCTGGGGGGGCAGCTTTCCGTTTTGGGACTTACAAAGGAGGCCTGGGTGCTGGAATCTAAGAGGCAGTTATATTTCCCTTTGCTTGTTCATGGTATTTTCTCTAAAAGTTGTGTTATTCATGCTAATGAAAGTGGGGTTGAATGAGCTGATCCTTTTCTGTATTTATTTTTTTATTTACTGTTGTTTGAGGGTCTGTTACTGTTTAAGGGCCACTACAGAATCAGAAATACAAGAATCCGATAGTGTCAGTTAGTACCCGCTCTACACTGGTGTGTGTATTTTAAAACCTAATATTTTGATCTTATGGGGACATTTTTTCGGTCCCAGCAATAGGTAACTCAGTTTAATAAAAATATATAAACGCAATCAAAATACTAAGAACGCAAGTCCTGTATTTTGTTTGGTTACTCATGGTTAAGGTCAGGGCCGGGTAGCAGTTACAGTTGTCTTTGCTGGGATTAGGGTCTTTTTCATATAAATGAATGGAGTGTCCCCACAATAACAGGAATATGGGAGCTGTGTGTGTGTGTGTGTTTGGATGCAGACTGTTGCTGTCGGTTCATTCGCTTCCTGATCCCCTTGGTGTCGTATGACGCTACACGCGACAGATTCATCCCCTTGCTGTTCCTGGGGCACCTTGGCCGCTGCCCGCATGGGACAGTATCGGCTCTCCACCACTGGTGGGGGCTAATTCCCGCCAGTGAGGTGTGACGGCGCCCGCATTATAAGTCTGGGGTATCAGTGGGGGCCCCGTTTGTGGTTAGCGGCCCCTTGCAGAGACGGCGAGGGGTTGATGTAACTGGCTGAAGTCTGCGTGCTGCCCTGTGGGTGTCGCTGTAGTGCAGCAGGAGGAGATGGGGAGCCCAGCTGCATGACCTTCCCACTGGACCGCAGGCCAATTTGCACGTTTGGTGGCGGCTCGTCCGCAGACCGATGATGTGACCCAGCAGGGTCTCTCGCTCCGTGACGCACCTTTTCTTTCCCGATGGTTCCTTTCACAGGGCTGCTGCTGGTGTGAGAACATTCCACAGAGATACTTCTGGCCCCGATCGAGGCTCTCATTCATGCCCTAGAGCTCAGGTTCCTTTGTTATTTTAGGCAGAATTATTGTTGCCCTAATAGATTAAACCGTATCCTGTTGATTCAAAAATTCCCACCGAGTCATCAATCCATCTGTCTATCAACCTACCAGTCTATCCATCCATCTATCTTACAAAGCCACTTAAATAGGACCAGTTCATGGCATAGGCAGATCTCACTTGGTATACAAATGTTTCCGTCAATATTGATGAACTGTGAATTGATGAAATGTAAATACTCTGTTAAACTCTGGCTCTCAAAACAGGACAGCCGTAAGTTGTGTAAATGTGACATTTTAGCCACAAATTAAATATTAAACCATTCTGAAGCTCAAATACCAACCAATTCACTCTTTAGAGTTGGGATCCTCATATTTACTTAATTCTGTGTATCTTGCTTGCATTCTAGTGAAGGGCATTGTGGTTTATTTTGAATGAACGGCTCTTCTGTACCCCGTGTGAATATTTTTATTTCCATGCGCCGTGGGGAAATGTTCCTTTAATCCAGGGGGATCTTTTCTCGGCCTCCTCCTGGAAACCGGTTCTTGGCTTCTGACGTCAGGAATAGCACAGACGTACCACGTAACGCCTTAAAGGAACACGCACACGTGAAAATAATTGGTGATGCCCCCTAAGAGGACCTAACTGAGGACGCCCATGCGGTACAGCTGATCGCATTTAGCGTGTTGATTGTGTGAGGCGCTAAAATTGCTTCCTGTTTCTGTCTTTATCCGAATTTATGCCCATGGTGTGAAAAGCCGAATTCTTAGTGTCAGAAAACCTTGCGGGGTGGTGGCAGACACGCCGCGGGAATTCGCCATCTGAAATGTCAGCGCCTCTCTCCCGTAGCGACACCCCATTGGCGGCACTCTGAAGTTGCCCCTAATTGGCCTGGATGGTTGATTTTCATGGCGGACAGCCACTGTCCCGGTTAAATGTCACAGGTGGCCTCGCTGCCCCGCGCCGTGACTGCCACAGAACTCCGTGCGGTTCCGAGGCCCGGTATATTTTGCTGGTACCCATGCATACGTGCTGCCCTGACCCCCTCGTCTCAGAGAGGTTGCGTGTAGCTATTAGCCTGTTCGTGACTTGAGAGGAAGAGAGGAAGTACCATTGTACCATTGCCCCCATGCCCCGAACCCGCCTCTCCGTAATCATTATCGCCTCCCGGTGGCAGGAAGCTCAGCAGCCCAATCCGCGTTCACTCTTCTCCTCTCCGCTGGACCTTTATTATTTTTTCCATCTTGGTAAAACAAGGTGCCAGGGGCTGTGAATT